GAGGCTTACAAATGGAAGATGTGTGTGTGTGTGTGTGTGTGTGTGTGTATGTGTGTGTGTGTGTGTGTGTTTTACATTAAACTAAAACAAACAGAGCACATTAATCAAGAGAAAGATTGGCAGCATGTTTCCAAAATTGTGTATTAACTGAGTAAGATGGTACACACTGCAATCCTAGCACTCCGGAGGCTGAGGCAGGGGGATGGCAAGTTCTAGGGCATGGGTAGTCATTGGTGGGGAGTACAACCAATGTAGAACACACACACACACCCAACACAAACAAATGGACAAACAAACAAAACAGAAAAGAGGGAAATAAAAAGATTCTTTGGACGGGCAACATTAAAACTGAGCTTCAACTAGGTATAGTGGCACATGTCTTTAATCCCAGCACTTAGGAGACAGATCAGGTGGATCTCTGTGAGTTTAAGACCAGTCTGGTCTACATGGAGACCCCAGGCCAGCCAGAACTATGCAGTGAGACCCTACCTAAACAAAACAAATAAACAACAAACGGAGCTTCTCCCAGCCTGATTTGATTTGCAGATTTGGGGGGTGGGTAGAAACAGGCCAAGCATTCTTAGGGACCCAGAGCCACAGCCTGCTGTACAAAGAAAGTACCCCTGAGGGGAGACTAAGAACAGACCAGAGGGTGGGCAGGGACGCCAGAAGAATGGAGGCCAGGTATATGGCTTCTCCATCAAACACCTACTAGGCCTCCTTGGAAGACCCTGGTTTCTCACAGAGCCAAACCAATGACGACCACATGGCCTAAAAGGCTCTATACTCTGGTTCAAACCTGGGACCTTATATTCCAAAGGCTGAAACCATGTGCTCAAACAACAAGATAAATCACCAGAATGAAAATCAACCTTCATCCACTGGATCCCTGGCATGGTTTACCCTCAAATAGAAACAGCAGTGCCCTGGGAGACTTGCTGCCTGCTTGGTGCATGGTTTCTGCCAGGGACTGCCATAGTGCCCGTGGGCACGGGCACTTTCTCTTAGGCAACAGCCTCACTTACTGCTGTGGCCCTGCGACCGACATGGGTCACACTGTATGAGCGCGGGTATGGGTGTCCCTTCACCATTGTTGCTTCTAGGGTCTGTTTCCTAGTCTCCCTCAAACAGTACTTCTCTTCCTCTTACAGGAAGTGGTTCATTTCCTCCCTTAGGCCTGCACCTTCACCCCAGGCTTCTCTATCACTATGCAGGCCGGACACAGCAGTGAGGATTAACTGTCATCACTGCGGTGGGTGCAGCAAGGAGCTAGGGCTTCCTGGTCTAGGACAGGGATTGACAGGGTGTGGGGGTCCTAGCTCCTGGTCTCCCCTGAACCTCTTTCTTGAGCTTACCCCAGAACCCCACAAGCTTGGCAGCGCTGCAGCACGCTATCCCAGAAGCACGTGGCAGGCTACGGAAATACCCAATGGACGCTACTGGTCCTCAAGCCTGGATCCTGAAAGTGCCATGTTACTACTCCAGCCTAGCAGAGGTAGAGGTTTCTAAGTACCCGGACCCCATAAGACAACAAGACCAGCAGGCAGTCCCCAGAGTGGCTGCTCGCCTCCCCAAGCCAATTTCCAGACCTCCTTCCAGAGGCTCGTCCACAGCAGGGCTCCCTGTCCTCTGGCCAGAACTCTGGTATCAGAGGCTACACAGTGAATTTCCCTGGGGCCTTTGGCAGCCTCCCAGGGGACCTCAGCCCCCTTGGGTGATCTCCTCCCACAATGATTTTGACTCCTGAAAACAGGGGCCACTGCCTGGGCATGGGCCAGGTTGCCACTGTCCCGATGATGGTCCTCAATAAGGAAGATGCCTTTTGGGCACTGGCCCAGCTGCCAACCCATACCGTCCAAGTAGTCAGGCTTTCATGGCACCAAACAGCTAGGCTGGGTGACCACCACACTGATTAGGGATGGTGATTTACAGCCATGGCACCTTCCCTTCCCTCCTCCTCCTGAACCACTGCACCGTCTGCTGTAGTCAAGGGACCCCACCATGTCCCCTGTCAGCCAAGAACCCTCTATGCATAAGCAAACCAGGTGACATGTTCCAGCTGGTTATTCTGCAGCTCTCACCATCTATCGCCAAAACCCCGGGGACAGCATCAACCTATCCATGTCCTCTCCTGATCCTGCGCCCAAGAGGCAGCCACCAACCTCCATCCCTGTCCCTGTCCCCTGCTAGCTTCATGGACCCGATAGGCTGGTCATACCCTATCCACCACAGGATAACCTGCCCTTCAGGAACCAGGACATAGTAAGGCAACAAGTCTAGCTGGAACTTGTTTGGGTGTTCCTCCTTCCTTCTCTGGAGCTGCAAATGCCTAATGGAGACAAGGAGTGGGACGAGGGGAAGCCTCAGGTTCCTGGGACACCTGCTACTGCCCTCAAGCTATGGCTCCACCCCTCTGGAATAAGTTCTACTTGTAGGTTATAGGCTGGCTCTCAGGATGCTACAAATGGTTCCAGACACTGCCTTTCAGCTCCCAGCTTATGAGAATGAAGTAGAAAAGTATAAGGGTGATGGAAGGGACTTGCCTCATCCCCAGAGGCACGGGTGGGACCTGGAATAGAGAGGTTTGGGGGCCATTATGAGCAGGAGACCCCAAGTAAAGCAGGACTGTGAGGAGATACCAACTGTCCAGGGCTTCTGCAGTGTTATGGCAATGAAGTATAGACAGGGAGGGACCTTCCTTGATCCACAGTGCTAGTTTCTCAGCCCAGGGGTCCCAGGAGCTCTCCCACCTTCCAAGGCCAGGAGAGCCCATATCCAACAAATGAGCTAGGCCCTAGACCTCCTGCCCTCCTGCCCTCCTGCCACACAAGCCACAGCACAGGTCAGAGTTTGAGCAAGTGCCACTGGCAGAGCAGGCCAGGCCAGGAGAACCAGGGAAACTCCGAGTCTTGGCAAGCCCCTGATCCCAGGGTCACACCTGCTAAGTCCAGCCCTGAGCAGTTACAAGCCTGATAGCAGCCTTATGGAATCACCTCTACAGAGAACCCAGAGGTTGTGTGCAGGCCATTGGTCCCAACTGGACAGGTGACACCCTCTCTTGCCTGATGCATTTGCAGACCTCAAGCCCTGCCCCGAAGCTCTGGGATGTCTATATCCTGGAGGATAAGGTTGTGGTCATGACCATGGCAAAAAAAAGAGCCCTCAAGGTACATGGAAGTCACTTCTCAGATATCCAATACAGACCTTGGCTAGCTGTGGGCCATCCTCAAACCAACCATTTGTCTACCTCTCTAGTTCAGAGTAAGCCAGCCACAAAGGGTGGGCCAGGCCAGCTGTGGTCAGCTGGGCAGGGGGCAAGGTATTGTCCCAAGCACTAAGACCACCCCCCATACCACAGATAAAAGAGCTGAGGGTGTTTTCCTGGCAGGATCTCTTTGGCTGTGATCTTATGTATACAAAACCACAGGCTGGTGGCGATGGTGCACGCCTTTAATCCCAGCACTCAGGAGGCAGAGCCAGGAGGATCTCTGTGAGTTCGAGGCCAGGCTGGTCTACAGAGCAAGATCCAGGACAGGCATCAAAACTACACAGAGAAACCCTGTCTCGAAAAACCAAACCAAAAACAAACAAACAAAAAACCCCAAAAACCAGAGTTAGAAACAGAAGGGTACAGTATCCTTAGTAAGATGGACCTAGGAACAGGCAGGTCTTGGTCAACAACCTTTCCCAGGGCCCAGCACAGAGTCGAACTCCATACCTTTGAAAATCTCCCAAAGCCTCTCTGTAGGACATGCTGCTTCAGGCTGAACTATACAATGCTGGAGTACCTCCAGGCCTCCACTGTGGTGTCTTGAAGGACAGAATGTGACACTCTTCTCTTATTAGCTCCAGTTTGAGGTCCATTCCCGGGGCAGGCATGTCTAGGCCCCACGAGCTCTGCCTCCATGTTTCCCACCCTACTGCTTCCAGCAGGAACATGAAGCTCCTGTCCACCCTTAGAATCACAGCCCAGAATGTGCCCAGCCTACTAAAACCCCCAAACAGGGCCAAAGACAACGATTAGCATAGCAGGCCCTGTCTCCAACCACCTTCATGACCAACATGGCTCCATGAAGCCTCAGATGATACCTCAGGAGCCTCAAATACGGTGGACAGGAAAGCTGAACTTTTGGCTGCTGTGGAAGAGGGCAGGAGAGGTGTCTTCAACCGCTCAGCAGCAGGCCCTACATCATGCCTAGAGGAGCCTCCGTATATTGCAAGTATCCTCTGAAAGAGGGCATTCACTCAATTCCACTTCAGTCTTGAAAGGGCAAAGCATAGCCACCAAAGGCCCCAGCAGCCAGGATGAGGACCAAGATAAGGAGATGGACCCTCCGGTCGTCATGACCAGTGCTAGATTGAGGCCCTGGGCATGGCATGCCCTTTAGGAGCCGTGAGCAGCTACCTGGCCGGCATGTGCCTCTCAAGATGGTACTGGTGACTTGGAGAACATCTGTACACCTCAGAGAACTGGTAGGAACTGGTAAGGCAGCTTCTACATTCTCAGGGTGTTGAGATTGCCAGGCTCTAAGCACTGATGGGACAGAGGCCTGCGGCCACACAGAAAACACTGATGACCTATTTCCAGAGTTCTAGAATCCCCACCACTGGTCAGAAGGCTGAAGGATGCCGGGGCAGGGCAGGTCTTACACTCTGCAATCCTTGGGGCTGTATTTCATGGATCCCAGGATGCAGGAAATGTGTTTCCTGCTGGAGACAAGGGATACCCCCTGACTCTTAAGCCCCCCTCCTTCCATTACTTAAAGGACAATAGGTCACTTTGCGTGTCACCTGATTATTCTTTTGTTGCCTATAGCTTTCTGCAGGAAACACAAGACAGCTGGGGCAGGCAGAGGGAAGGGCTACACAGTCCAGGATCCCAGGCTAGTCTCCCCAGCCTCTTCTCAGGGACAGGAACAAGGCAGATGATGAATCCCAGGTTCCCAGTATCTTCTGGGAGGCCACAGGCACTACACCTCCTACTCCCAGCCAGAGACAAGTCAAGACCATCAAATAATTTACTGTGATTCAACCTGTGCCCCAGAGGCACCCAGAGGGAACGGAGAGGGGTTGAGGACTGGGGTGCCAGTGGCAACAGGGACAGTTCATGACAGTCTGTTCAAATTGTCCATGCGAAGGTCTTGGTCACCTCTGTCCACCATCCCTGGACTGGACCGGCTCCAGCATCACTTCCTTCCTTCCTTCCCTGCTCTTTCCTTCCTTCCGTCTGCACCTCCTCCCTGCATCCGGCACCTCCACGTCCTGAGCCTGTGCCGGGACGGGCACAAAGGACACCACTGACCGTAGGCAGGGGGATTGGCAGAATGGGGGTGGGAGGGAGCAGGGACATCAGAGTGGATATGACGTTCATTCGGCTAGCTGGGGCCACTGGCCCAGATGTCTGCTGGTCCCTGCCTCACCTGGCGTCAGGACAGCACACACTTGCAGCTCATGCAGCCAGGGCCACTCTCATCGGGAGGGTTCAGCTTCCGCAGTTTGTGCTGCCGAATCTCACGTACGAGTGTGTAGAAGGCATCCTCCACACCCTGGGAACAGAGGGAGTGGATCAGAGGGGACGCTGAGGACGAAAGGGGTGCTGTCTGGGTAAGAAGCTCCCTGCCTGGATCAGGTAACACCCCAACCCTGGAAAATAACCCTTCCTCGGCTGTACAACCAGCACAAACAGGGAGCTAGACTCTGCACGTCTAAAGGGCACAGGGCCACTCTCCTTAAGCAGGCTCACTCCAGAATATCCTTGAAAATCAGAGCCGCTCAACTCGGGACTCTCCCAGACCCCCAGTATGGCTCAGGTATGAATACCCTGAGCACACTTAAGGGCTCAAAACTAACAGGTACCCACAGGACACTATGGGGACAGGAAGGACTAGGCCCCTGGGTCACCGCTCCGGCCTGGCTCAGGGCAGCTCTCTCCACGGACCCCCTCCTGCCCTGGCGCTGTGTCAACCCAGAACTGCAGGGCATAAGCCCGGACCCTGACCCTTGCCTCCCTCACAGCCCTGCCGTCTGGGAGACTTACAGCATGGGGGCCGCTGGGTCACATGGGTCCCGGGGGGTCCCAGAGGGTCCCGGAGCTGGAGCCAGAGCCAGAGCGGCTGCCCTGTGTTGAGGGAGAGGGGCGATGAGCTCTGCTCCCTGGCTGGGGTGGGGTGGGGTGAAGCCCTGACTAGCTGCGGAATGGGGAGCAAGCTCACCTGCCGGGTCTTGGCTGACGTTTCAATGTAGGGGATGCCATAGCTTCGGGCAAGGTCCTGGGCCTGCCGAGACTCAACAGTACGAGCGGCCAGGTCACACTTGTTCCCCACCAGCACCATTGGCACATCGTCTGAGTCCTTCACCCGCTTGATCTGCTCCCTAGAAGGAGATGGAGGGTATGTAAGCCAACGCGAGCAGGCCGCAGGCATGGCTGTATCCAGGACATTTGGGAGAAGACGTAAAGCCTCAGTGTGCACACGGAACCTTGCTCACCTGTGCCCTGGGCTCATGGGCTAGCCCTAGATGGCTCACCTGTACTGATGGATGTCTTCAAAGGACTTGGTGTTGTTGATGGCAAACACACAGAGGAAACCCTCCCCTGTGCGCATGTACTGGTCCCGCATGGCACTATATTCCTCTTGACCTGCTGTGTCTAAGATGTCCAGCAGACATGTCTCCCCATCAATGACCACCTGTTTCCGATAGGAGTCCTGCAGAAGAACATAGCTTAGGGGGTCCCACCTCTCCTCAGACAGACGTCCACAGAGCCAGCCTACCCTTGCACCTCTCATGCCCTGATGGCTCAGGTGGGAGCCAGACCCACACCACCTTCAAGACTCGGCTGTGTGGGCCTGTCCTGACTCTTACCCATGACCACTGCCAAGAGCCCAGGCAGGTAGCCAGAGCTCACCTCTATGGTGGGGTCATACTCGTCCACAAAATGGTTCTGGATCAGCTGGATGGTCAGGGCACTCTTTCCCACGCCTCCAGCACCCACCACCACAAGCTTGTATTCTGTCATCTCTTCTATAGGGACTGTCACTCCAGGAGCTCCTGCCCCACCTGCCAATGAGAACCACACTTAGCCAGGCCCGGGGTCACTTGAGACTGCTAATAGGTGCCTGACCCAAAGGCCCTCTCCAGCATGGAGGAGGCAGGCCAGCCACGACAGTGGCCCAGTCACTCACCTGTGGCACCTCCAGCTGGGACAGGGAGGCCCCCCACCTCCTCCAGCAGCACTTAATGGCTGTGTGAGGAAGCAGGGAGAGGCCCCCAAGGCAGGGCTGACAGCTGAGAGCTTCTCCCAACCACGCACCCAAATTAGAAGTCGCTAGGTAGGCAGAAAGCCTCAACTGGAGGCGCCCGAGGGCTGAGGCCACCCCCCAAAAACAGGTCCTGCCACGGCGGCCTCAGCGTGCCCAGGCAGGCCAGTGCCAGCCTACAACCGGCTCCGGCCCGCCGGCATGTGGGTGCAACCGACAAGTATTTACTGAGCGCCTACTGCATGCCAGGCGCGGTCCTGGCAGCGGGGGAAGGGTAGCTGGAGAGGGACCCTGCCCTCCACTGAGAGAGACCTTCCACAAGGGGCCAGGGAGCCTTCAGCAAGCAGGGGGGAAAAAGCGGCCGAGGGTGTGGGAAGCAGGTGACTGCGGGAAAGACTCACAAGGGGCACGAGGGGTGGCTGGGGAGCAGAAGGCCCTGATTGGGGCCCGACGTGGGTGTCCTTGTAGCCCCGAGGCCGGAGCGTGATGGCCGCGGGGTGCAGAGTCTCCGGAGGCCCGGGCGGCGCCTC